CTGCGATACTGCAGCTCCTTGGGTGATCAGTCCTGAGTCGCCTGCCCAGCATGAGGTGGGCACAGGCAGACTGACAGGCTGTGGGGACACTCCTCACTCACTCCTCCCACCTTTGCGAGGGTCTGGAATCGGCTGAAAAGCCAACTCCTGTCGCTTTTTAAAGGACAGACGCTTCCACAGAAGCTCCATCTCCAACAAGGTGGGTCTACAGACTTGCTGAAGAAAGGAATAAGGGCAAACTCCAGCACCCCATGGGTGCTAGGTGGCTTTCCCTGCACCTACAGATGACACATGCCAGCCCGGGGCGGGGGGGTGGACAGGCACTGTGCCAGGCGCTGAGGGCAGGAGACTAGACAAGGGCCAATCCTCTGGCCGTGAGAAGACGGACTCTGAGGAGGATCACAGTGGGATGGGAGGAGCCACACGTGAGCAGCAGACTCAGCTTTGTCCTGGTTCTGCCACCAGACAGGCCTGTGATTGGGCAGGCCCCACCCCCCTCACGGCCCCACATTCCTCTGACTTAAAGAGTGGCATCTGGACTTCTGCAGCCTCTCCCAGTGTCTGGCACGGCCCCCGGAACTTGGTTAGCACCCGAGGGAAAAAAGGGAGCTCTCTGGAAGAGGAAGCTGTCGGGTCAGTTTGTGATCTCAAAGGCCCCGGGCAGCACAAGGCAGCATGTGCTGCCACCAGTGGACGGACAGCTTGGGTCATGGGCTTCAAAGGGAGCAGTGCTCATGGCTGAAGATACCAGGAAAGGCCTCTTGGAAGAGCTGGGCTCTGTTCTCAGCGACAGGAAGGGGCTCCCGAGAAAGCCCCGGGAACCAGGCTGCCGGGGCCCCTGACCGCAGTCCAGGGGGGTGGGTGGGGAGGAGGGCCTTGGCGTGACCTCCTGACATGGCGGGACAAAGCAGAATTCCAGGCTGGCTGGCTCTGGGAGAGGAGGGGGAACCCTCCGGGCAGGCCTGGTCTGGGCAGCAGAGGGTGGAGGAGGTGTGCAGCCCTCTCCGACCCCAGGGCGAGTGCACTCCCAAGAAGACCCCTTCTGAGGTCCAACGCTGGTCCCTCAGCCCCAAGGGGACAGGAGAACCCTCCACCCTCTCCCCTCAGCTCCACGGTTGCCTTCAGAGATCCTGCCCAGAGAGCAGTCCAGGAAAGAGAACCCAAGGAGACTGAGGAAAAAAGAATGTAAAATTGTTTTCCATTCCTGCTAGTGAGACCCATCTTGCCTGAGGAGTGCAAGGGAACCCCTCCCCACCCCAAGTCCCTGCTGTAGGGTTACAGAAGCAGAGAGAGCCTGCTCGGCCAGAGGAGTCCACACCTCGGACTGCTCTGCACTGGCTCTACCACATCCGAGAGCGCCACATCTGGATGTGCGGAGGGAACCTGACCCTTCACAGCAGGTGAATGGGGCCTTCCTGGCTTCCAGTCCAAATCCCTTCCTCTGGAAGCAGGGAAATGCAGCCCATGGATCCAGGGTCACCATCAGTGCCCATGCCCAGCCGGGCCCACCCCCCAGCCCCTCACCCCCCACTGGGGACTGCGGAGATCGTCCCTAGGAACGCCTGATTCTGGCAGTCAACTCCACACAGCAGCGTCCTCATGCCTCCAAGGTGTCCCCGCCCAGAAGGAGGTCCCGCCACTCTCCAGCGTGGATGCAGGTGTCCCCCTGCCCAAGGTGCCGTCAAGGCAGTCTGCCGCTAGGGACCGTGTCGGGAACTGACCTTCTCAGGGCGGGCTCATCCTGCGGAGATGAGTATGTGCACCCCATGGCTCCTCACTCCCAGTTCCAGGACTTAAGGAAAAAGGAAGGTTACAGTTCTCTCCTGGAAACTCACCAGGAGCCAGCAGACAGAAGTTTGGCTCTGTCCATTTCTATGCTGTGCTGGTGGGGAAGCTGCCCGGGCCTATGGACTTGAGTCTTGGACACCCCAAAGTCCTCTCAGAATCCTTCTGAGCTCTGGCCTGCATCTGTCCCCACCAGCCTGAGAACTCTGCAACATCTGGCAGCTCCAGCAGGGAAGAATCAGGACTCAAGACGGAAGCCTCCCATGATCCCCTGCGGTTGGGCACACACCCACCCCCCCTCCTTCAGTATGGACCGAGGAAAGGAGAAAACCTTTCCAACCCTGACTCTGGTCTCCTTGGCAACTGTTTATATCAGAGCCCTTCTCCCTACACCCTCCCCCTTTCCCATTAAAAAAAAAGGAAGTCATGTCTGCTGAATAAAGCTCTTCTAGACTCCGGAAGGCAGTTTGCAGGTTGCTATGGCAGGGCTATTTCTCCATGAAGGAAGCCACACTGATCCCACAGCCCAGGCGCCTTGCGATTATATTAAATTAGATCTGGTCCCCATCTTCCCCTACACAAAAGCACGGCAGAGAAACAGAGCCCAAGACACTGGGTCCGTGTCAGCTGAGAGCGTCCTGTGTGCCATTAAGGGCACACCTGACCCTCCCATCATGGCTGTCGGGAAAAGCCCAGCAAAGCGATGCCCTGTCTTAAGGTACATCCTTCAGAGGTTCCCAAGTGCAAACAGCCCATCAGAAAGTCCAAGGTTCTGGCCATGCAGGGGCAGCAGCTGGCCCAGGCATGGAGCCCAGGGACCATGTGGCTTCAGAATGGCACACGCAAGGTTCCAATTAGGCCTCTCCACTCCTAAATTGGGAGCAGAAGTCTCTGGTTTAGGCTTGAGAAGTCAGCGGCAGTCCACCATGTGGGGAGACCAAGGGAGGGCGGGGAAAAGCACTGAGTCACTTGGACTCAGATGAACCAAGACGTGTGATTCATTTTGTTCCAGTCCCAGACGACACTGAGAAGCATTTCTGAAAACTGCAAATCAAATTTACTTTTCTGCACAGCGGACCTGATTTCTTTTGGGACTTTACCCTGCCCTTGGCTCCACACGGGAAGCTGCTTTGGACCGGCTTCCTCCCAGAGCCTATGTCTGGCAGCCAAGCTCTCCAGGCCTCAGGGTAACAGGCATCCACAGTGAGAGGAGGAACGAGGGCTGAGGCACAGACGCACAGTGCCCCAGAGCCAGGACAGACTGCCGTGGCAGGACGGAGAGTCAGTTTGGTGGCCTCTATTGCAGGAAGACGGCTCCACTGAGCAGGCCCAGGTTTCTCTACCTTCAGAGACTTGTGGCGCGAGCTGAGGGTTTGAAAGACCTGCCTTTGGTGGAAATGGAAAGCGATCTGCTGGAGCTTAAGCAAAAGCAACAGCTCTGTCCACCACCAGCCCTCAGGGCTTTACTGGACATGCCATGAGGGCTGCTGCCTCCTAACATAGCTGGCCTCAGGCAGGCAGAAGGGAAAAGCAGGTGGGAGAGGCCACAGGTCAAAGACAAAACAAGGAAGGGAACTGCTATCGACTGAGTGCCTCCTACACACCAGCCAGTGTTCAAGGAGCTTTGTATTTTATTTCATTTAACCTCACTGCCCTGTGAAGATGCGGCCTTCTATCCCCACTGACAGGGCAGTGAGGCTGGGGGGTGAGGCGGTGATTCAACCACAGGCCTGAGAAAGCCCAAAGCCTCAGCGGCCTGGCACCCGGAGGCCATGTGCTCCCCCCAAGCAAGGTTGCACTTCGCCCGCCCCACCCTGTGTCAGCCAAGGCACAGCTCACAAGGTCACTGGTGTGTGCCTCTCACAGCCCTTCCTGGGGTTCCTGGGGCCTGGCTATTCGGGGCGATCTAAGGCTCCAGGGAGCAGCTGCTCCCTCATGCCCACCCCCTCATATTCTCCGAACCTACAGATCAGGACCCCACAAGCAAGTCCACACAGCCCAGAAAACCTGCCATCACCCAGGCAGCCCGCCCCACCAACACACGGACTTGAGACAGCTGAGACCTGAGAGTCCCCTTGGCAGACACCCAGACTAGTTAGGGGCTGGCTAGGGCCAAACTGCTTCTCAGGAGAGAGAGAGGAGAGACTGAAGTTCAAGGAATTGCTTAGGGCTGTCCAGCCCATCAGTGATAAGAGGGAAAAGGCCATACCCTGTGACACTAAGAGATCTGACCTTGTCAGAGACCAAGGGGCCCTGCCATCAAGTGTAATCAAAGGGCACGTGTGGGGAAGCCATCACAAGAGTCGGGTGGCGTCAGCAGGAATAAGGGCGAGGTGGGATTCCCTGGGCTGGAATCCCTGCTCTCACTTGTCAGCTGTCAGCCTTGACCAGGTCACTTGCCATCTCCTTGAATCAGCACGGCCACATGTAAATGAGGACAAGCACATTCCCTCTGTGGGCTGTGAGGGCCCAAGAAGCTTGTTTCCAAAGGCCCTGGCCTAGAACACCCTCTCTGATCCCACGCCCCTCCTGCACTTGCGCTCTGCTGCCCATCTTGGCACAGGGCCCCCATCGACGCCTGCGGGGCCGAGGTCAACAGCCTCCTGCCCATCTTCCCGCGTCCAGGTCAGCTCCCTCCACCCCGACTCCACACAGCACTTCGTGGGACCGCTGCTCTCGGGAAACTGCCCTCCCGCAAAAGCCTTCCCAAGCGCCCCATCAGTAACAGGTAAGTATAGCTTTTTTTTTTTTAAGAGCTGGGGTCTCAGGCAACCCCTTTGGGTCCCCTCCCACGGTGGGAGCTTTTCTGCCCTCTCAATAAAGCCTGCTTTAAAAAAAAAGAGATGGGGTCTCACTATATCACCTCGGCTGGAACCTGGATTCAAGGGATTCTCCCACCTTAGACTCCTGTGTAGCTGGGACCACAGGTGCAAGCCACTGCACCTGGTTAAGATGATGTATATCAAAGCATCATACTGGCTAGGCACGGCAGCTCACACCTGTAATCCAGCCACTTTGGGAGGCCAGGGTGAGAGGATTGCCTGAGCCCAGGGATTCGAGACCAGCCTGGGTAGCTTGGCCAGACCTCGTCTCTACAATAAACCAAAAAATTAGCCAGGCATGGTTCTAGTTACCTGGAAGGCTGAGACAGAAGGGTCACCTGAGCCCAGCAGGTTGAGGCTGCAGTGCCACTGTACTCCAGCCTAAGTGACAGG